CTTTTTCTTTTTTTTTTTTCCTTCTTAAATCTTTTCTTTTCACAGTGAGGACATCGCGTGGTTTTTTTTATCAATCGAAGGTCTTCACTAAGGGCTGGGGTTGTGCCTGATCCGCTTGTCAGAAAGACCAAGAGTGATGTCGGTCGATCTCACAAACGTCATCAGTGATGAGCGAACTGCGAGTCATTCCATAATCAGGAATAAAACTCGTCATCGCAAATTAAACTGGAGAAGAAAGACACGCTCGGTGATGCTGGTACATTGACCGTGCTAGCCTCTCTACGTTACACAACCCCGTACCTACGTTTTAGGCCTACGATCTAAAAGGTCGGCACGATTCGCAAAAGAATCCGTTTGATTGTCACTGATATAACTCCAGAGGAGAAACCTTTCATTCCCTCGGAAATACTCTCATCGTTTGTTGTACGATACTGCACTTCGTCGGGAGGACACTCCAGGCTTCATGCCACGTGCGAAGTGTCCTACAAGTGCGTGAAGGCGAGAAGTATAGATAGATTGTAATCCAATAGATCACTGGTTGGCCTCAAACGGTGGCAATAACGATGAGCAAATGAGCGATTTTTGCGACACGGTGCAACAAATCCGGCGCGATTCGCGCCAAGCTCTCGTTTGCGAAGTCACAAGATGGGAAAATATGAACTACATACGCAGGCTGTAAACAAAATCAATTACGTATTTATTTTTATGAAAGATATTTTTTTTATATTATTGGATTATATTATATTATAATTATCGACAATTGTTATTAAAATAATTTTATAGACTATCAATTACTATTAAATTACTAATAAGTAACTCGAGAGAAATATATAATAGATGATAGAAATGTTATAATAGATGTATACAGGTTATATCTTTACATACTTGTTGTGATCCTGGTGCAGCGATGTTAACAATTCCAGCAGCCTGTTTTTGCTGTAGATACATTATAAATCCGGTTTGGAGGTTCTTGCTTTGTTGTAGTACGTCTACCTCATCTCGACCACAAGGAAGTGCAAGAAGCATACAGTGTTCATTATCCATCTGAAACAATGAAAAATAATAAATTAGCTAGAAACAAATAATTATTTTAACAATATCGTATTGTCATTTATTTTTTAATTTTTGCTTTAAGATTTTTTTTAACTTAAAATATCATTAGATACGTGTATTAAAAATAATGCATTATAACACAATCTAAAATTTAAATTAAAATTAAAATTTTCGAAAACATACCTGCATCTTTCTCGCTACTCCTTCGACCTGAGTTTGTTCCAATCTCATTCTCTGGGCGATTCTCAATGGTGGAGTAGAGCCATCGCTATTGCACGGTAGACTGTCCCTTGCTACATTGGGATTGCCAAAAACGAAATGCATTTGTACTGCTGCTTGGTCATTTTTAAGAGCCAATAGTCCTTGCCACATAACTGGATAACGTTGCAATAACATTTGAAACGAGTCTGCTTGTGGTGGCACTTGAGAAGCATGAGGTGGAGTAACTACTTGGTGTTTTCTAGGCCTATCTGGTGTAATTGCTCTGTCGCTTGGCGCTTCACTGGCGGCGATAGGATATTGAGAGCGCAAATGCGCCGGTGGAGGCTCGTAAAAACCGCCTCTGGCAGCTGCTGGTGCACCAGTTAAAGATGGATTACTTCCAGCATTATATTGCGGTGGTGGTGGTGGTAATCTCACTGTTCCATGCATCATATACACTTGAGCTACTTGAGGACTATCAGTAGTTCGATCTTGAGGTGTTCTTGCACTACGTCTCAATTCCAATGGTGGGCTGTGACTGTCCTCTATGCCTGTTTCAAGTTTAGGATCTAATGGTAAATGAGGAGATCGAGTTTCTTGAATGTGATATATCCGTGGAGCTGTCAATGCCTCTTGTTGTGCACGTAGATACTGATATTGCAGCATTTGCGGATGCATATAATGAGGTGGTATTTCTGCCCCTCTTGCCAGACCTCCAAAGTGGTTTACAACGTCACCCTGGATACGAGAATATTGTGGATAAAGTCATGGACACAGTATTCGTATATTTTTTTTTTTTGGATTTGGTGGAAACGTTTTTTTATACATTTTAATAAATACTGATACATTTTAATAAAACTACAAAGTTAGCATAGTAAGTACCTGAGAAGCATTAGTATGATGATGGGCAGGTGGAGGCAATGGAGGACTCTGGGATCGATGTGGGGGGACAAGTCCATATTGGCCCCCTGGTGATGGAGTAGCACCCGCACTTCCATGCTAGCCAAAACCAAGCCAAGTTAGTTATTTTGTTGACATTTTTTAAATATACATATATATATATATAGTTACACACTTAACTTTTTTTTTTTATTATTATATGACACTTGACTATGGTGAAGTCAAATTAATTTAAGTCAAAATTAAAATAAGCATGGATCACGAATAAACATTATGTACGTATAATTGTAATACTTTTATATATAATTTAAAATAATAAATATAATAAATTATGAGCATTATGCTTACCAATGGTCCTTCATAAGTTGATATAGGTACTCCTCGAGCTTGAGGACTCGCAGTTGGAACCATGATACAGCCAGACATCGACACTTCTACTTTCGGTGGTTCCATCGTTCCCGTTACCTATAATCGAAATAGAAATTAAGTTTTTTTCTCTTAACTTTATATTCTCAAACCTATTATATATCATATAAAAGCAAAAAATTCTTACTGATGGTTTTGGTGCTGGAGGGCGCGAACAGCTCACATTAGCGGGTTGTGGATTCATCAAATGAGGTTGAGTAGGTGGACTGGCCACCGCACCTGTGACCATTGGTGGCACCACCGCCTGCAGCAAATGTGCCTTCGGATTCAGAGGATGTGGCTGGCCATTAATAGCCTTTAATGCTGTTGGTTGGGAAACAGGTTGATGTATTCTCGGGGTAGATGTTGTAGTTACATTAGCTGGATGGACGTTCATGGGTAATTTCTGAGAAGGAAGATTCACTATCGCCGATGTTTGTTGTTTGGCCGCTTGCAAAAGGTGCTGTTTCGGATTCGGTGGAACACCAGTGTTGTTGAGAACCGGTGACATAGGCTGCCCTTGACTTTTTCCATTCGCCGCGCTAATTTGTGGTGTTTGTTTGCTACGTGGACTCAAACTCGGCGAGACCACTCTGTTACTGGATACTTGTAAGTGTAGACCTTGCATCGGTTGAGTGGATTTCACGATGTTCTGCACAACCGATTGGCTAGGTACGCTAGGAGTTGCTGGTTTCGTGATCACCACTTGTTGTTGCACCGGTGTAGCTAATTTACTGGCATTTAATACATGAGCCTTGAGGCTCGTAGGTTTCGATTGAGTTGAGCAGGTAGATGTCGTTGGCATCGCCACCGTTGTTGTAGCTACAGAAGTAACGGTGGTGGAAGTTGTCGCTGATTGAATTATACTGACCGTAGAGGTTACTTGAACTACCGGAGATTGCGGTTTCGTTATAACGCTGGTCTGTGGCTGAATCTGTTGATTTTGGCCCGGTTCTTGAATTTGTTCCTTTTTCGGCTCTTCGGAAATACTTAGATTTTCCGGTTGAGGTGGTTTCGGTCTTAACACTCCACTCGTATTAGGAACAGCATTCGCCATCATTGCTGGAGCAGTTCTGGACTCGCACGCGTTTCTGTTTACAGTCTGTCCAGAGGTCGTGGAAACTGGAATGTATTGACCTTCCTCCGACTCTCTCATCGGTATTAACATTCCAGTCACCGGATCTATCAGCGTCATCGGTTCATGAGAAACTGGTTTCTGAGTTGGTTCTGGTACAGGTTGACTGGCCTCTTCCGTTTTTGAAGTTTCATCCGGAACCGGGACACTCTCCTCTTTATTTTGAAGTTCTTGCGATATGGGTGGCGTTTCCTTCATCTTCATCAATTCGCGATACTCTTCGTCGTCATCGTTCTCGGATGTTCTACGCGCAGATTTACCGCGCACGCTTCTCGGCGACTTTCTAGGTTCGGCCAATTGCATCGTGGCCTGTACGCGAGGCGAATTGTTGTGCCTGGTGCTTCGTCTTGTAGCGTGAACATTCCCAGATCCTCCTAGTACATTCTTGTTCACCGCGGAGCCACGAACGACATCTTCGATCACATCGTCGATCGTGTTCCTAATTCCATCTCTCTCGGCCAATCTCCTCGACTTTCTCGTGTTCGCCGCTGGAGGGACAAACTCTTCAGGCGGTACTTCTTTCACTGCGGCAATAGGTGTTGCTGGTTGCGCATTGGGTCCGGACAAATTCGGTACTGGAGATTTGATGGTGAGAATCAATCGTGGCCGCCCGGCATTGTCCTCCTCGCTGTCGTCGTGGAACTCGTAAACATCAGCTGGTAATTTGTTCTTCTCCACGTGATGCTTGCTCCCTCTAGGAGTTCTCGCTCCTCGTTTATGCACCACAGTAGCGGTATTTCTACTGCTTCGCCTGGTGGTTACCCCTCCCCGGCTACCACCTCCACGTCTGCTCTTTGTCCTACCACGACGACTCTTGGTCGATTCATTCTCACACGTTTCCACGCCTTCGTCCTGATCGTCGTTCGCCGCAAAGTTCTTCTTGCTCTCGGTTTCCGTTACCTCGGCGTTGAACCATTCCGATTCGTTGGATTTCGGTTGCTCCTGCGCCTCGTTACTGGTGTTTTGATCATGTTGCGTCTCTTCGTCGCCCTCGTTCCCCTCGCCATCGCACAACGCGTCCACTTTCTTTATCACGCTCTCGATATTCACTTCTTTGGCCGACCAATAATCACTGTCCTCCTTACTATCCGTTGGATCCTCCTTAGACACGTCGATGGCAAGCGGATCCGTGCTCGGTTCTTTCAACGGATCCTCCGCCAATGGTTCCTCGTCCATATCCCCTTCTTCGTTCTCTTTCACTGTTTCCTCTTCCTTGATCTCATTGTTGTTCGCGGACTCTGACTTAGGAACCGAAGAGGGCTCGATTTCCAATTTGGCAACAAGATTGTTATCGTTAGACTCGCATTTCGGTACGCACGATAATTTTTCCGACTTGACAAGATCCTGTGACTCTACCTTGATAGGATTATTCACGTCCACGTTGGTACAGATTGTCGGCTGATTCAACGGACGTTCCGATTCCTCGCTGCGCGATTCCTCTTTCATCGCGGTGTCGTCTTCCCGTTTCGAAATTTCGGCCGGTTCTTCTTTTATAACGTCCATTGGTTGTGTAGGTTGTATGGGCGGAGTAAGTTGCATGGGCTGCGCCGTTTGCGCCATCTGCGCGTCAGGATCCACCTCGAGCTCTTGCTCCGGAGGTAAACGCGATTCCACGCAGGTGTCGGCCGTCGTTTGCTCGTTGTTGATCGGTGGTGACGATACCGTGGATGGTACGGTTCTGGCGATAATGGCTTGCGACACCGTGGATACTAATGGTATATGAGGCTTCGACAACTGACTGCTCTGCATTATCGGCGAGTGCCTCTTGCTCGTGGTAAGAGGTAGCGACGCCTGCGCGATGATGCATTTCTCCTCGGAAACAGGTACCGTGGACGCGATCTGTTGCGAAACTATCGGTACAACCGTCTTGATCAACGGCTGATTGGCCGAAGAAACGGTGGATGCACCGATAGTATGCACCACAGACTTGTGGACCAGGTGAGATTGTCCATGACTGACTATCACAGGGCTCGGTGTTGAGGAGCGTGGCACGTGAGTAGTTAAAAGTTGAAGGCTCGAAATTTCTTGCTTCTGTCTCGGGGACAACAAATTACCATCCGTCGTTATCGCGCCTGAAATTTGTTTCTGATTTCTAGACGACAAGGAGGAGCAAGTGTCCGCCGAGATGCTGGTCGGTTTGCCGAACACGGGGCTCGACGTGCTGGCGTTTATCTCGATCTTCGCCGTCTCGGGAATATACGTGGGCGGTTGATTCGGCGATGGAACTTTGGGCGAGGTGGAAGCCTTGTTCGTGGGCTCTGGAATGACAGCTGGCGATAATTTCGGTTCCTCGAGCCGCTGCGGGGGCTCGTTAGGATTTACCGGAAGCAACGTCTCAATCACGGATTTCCCACCCAGGGTGGAATCCCTCGAGCTTTTCACTTGTACACCCGGAGCCAACGGTGGTACAGGCATGTAAGGACGGTGCGGGATATTGAGCGTGAGAGGTGGCAAGCCTCCTCTCGGGTGACTAGGCGCCAGAGCTCTCATTCCGGGAGCGTGTTGAATGACGGGTTGTTGGGTGGCAGCCGTGGAATAAATCTGTTGCGCGGGTGTTTCCGGTCTGTGCGCTGAAACGGGCACGCTTACCGCTATCCTTGCCGGCGGAGGAGACGGTTTACCGACGCTTGGTACGTGCGGGCTGAGCGCCGAATTTCGAGACCATTGCCCGTTAGGCGACAACGGTTGCAAGATTCTCGGCGACAATTGCGACGGAACCAAGGGTGGCATCCTGGATGGAACTAGAGGCGGCAGAGGAGTCTGATTCGAGGAGGCTGACGTCGAAACGGCGGAGATGTTCTGCATTCGGGGGGAAGTTTGTCGCATGGGTACCATCTGGGATTGCGGCGAAACGGGCAGTTTCTGGTACAAGGATTGCACGCTGATCGGTGGTGGTCTAGGGCTGACCGCGGCTATTCTGGGAGTTTCACTGGTAATCGGTACGCTGCACGGACCTAAGACTGGCTGTTTGTATTGAGGAGGTGGCGAGGTGGAAGCTCGACGCGCCTGCTGCGTGTTAATCATCTCCGGACTGGCCGCGGTCACGTTCGTCTCCACGTTTTCCATCGCTTGCACGGTTTTCGCTATTTCTCGCGGCTTCTCGTTCAAGTTCCACGAGTGCGCGATCACGGAGGTTGGCGGAGGTGGACTCTGCGATTTCACGGGTATGGACGAGATCCGCGATTCGATGGCCTTCTCTGTGGTCGCCGCCAGGGAAGGCGGGATAGCGTTGACGGTTTTCGTGGGCGATTTGTAGAACGATGGAATGTCTGGCGTTTTAGGCGGTTGCGTCAAATCGAACGTCTCGTAATTCGGGTCCTCTTCCGTGTCCGTGTCTATCTGCAGATCGTGCTCGCTTTGAGGAGTGTCCGGTTTCATATCGGTCTCGCCCTCTCCCGTCGAAGCGTTCAGACTTTCCACGGCCTGTTGCATCTCCTCGACGTCCTCTTGAGGCGCCTCGGCCGTCGCTCCGACCGTGTCCTCCGCTTCCGCGTCTTCTTCCTCGCCCTCGTACGAGAAATCTTCCGTCGATCCTCCGAAAGTTTCCTCCAGCAGAGCAGCGACCGCGTCCTCCGTCTCTTCCTGAGAGATCGCCACTCGTGGCTTGTCCTCCGTTTGCGTGGGTGGCGTAGTCGACGCGTTCACCTCCGCTTCCTCCCTGCCGCCGCGCGACTGACAATTGCTCTCGCGCTCCTCCGGCTCCGAGATACTCTTCACCGCGTTATCGTGGATGGTCTCGTCGATCTCGATACCAAACCCTGGTATAAACTTGTCCTTCTTCTTCTCCGTTTTTCCCGATTGGATACCGCTCCCAACCACGGGAGGAGGCGTCATCGATGGCATCGTCGTCACGTTGGACACCACCTTCGGAATGGGGCTCAGCAAGGTGTCCCTGGGCGTAGGTAAGGTAGGCGACATCGTTTTCGATACAAGCGGGCTGCTGGCCCTCGGAGGGCTGGGATCCGCTCCCAAATAAGGCAACTCGCCGCTCTTCTCGTGATGGTGGTGATGATGGTGATGGTGATGATGGTAATCCTTCCGGCTGCGCTCTTCCTTCGACTTTTTCCTCTTCTTCTTCTTCTCTTTCACCTTCTCCGGGATAGCGGACGGCGTGGACGGTTCCACGCTGTCGTTGTCGTCGGTGAACCGGAACACATCGTGGTCGTTGCTCTCCGTACAAGCCACGCCCGATTTCGGCGAGTTGGGCAGGCCCAAAAGCTTCGCCTCGATCTCGCGCCCCGCCTCCGCCAGATCCACGCTGTTCTCGTCCTCCGGTTGGTGGCGCCGCTTCTTCTCCGCCTTTCGTCTCGCTCGCTCCACGTCCAACCCAGGGCTGTGCCCACCGTCGCTGTCCGAGGCGTACGCGTTGTTACCCAACCGATTGAAGAGCGCGTTGTTGGACGGGCCGTCGTCCACGTCGTCCGACAACGGGCCGAATATGTCCTCCATTCGTTGCGAATCTCTAGCCTCCTGCCTGTTCAACCTCTTCCTCCTCGCTTTGGCTTTGTCATCCCCGTTCCTGTCCCTCCTCTTGTCCTTCTTGTTCCGTTGTTTCTTGTCCGATCTTATCCTCTCCTCCGTGCTCTCGAGCGTGCCCGCAGCGGACGTCGCGGTCGTGGACACGTTGATGGACTCGGACGTGTGATTAGGTCGGCAATCCACGTTACCGCCGCTCGCTGCAACGGTGTTGGACTTGTTCTTGTGCTCGGCCACGGCCTCGGAGGGCTCGGTTTTCAAACTGTTCTCCTGATCGTTCGATATCGAGTTCTTTTGCCGTTTTTGCTTCTTCTTGTGCGACTTTTTACGGGAGTCGCGCTCGTGATTGTTGACCACGATCGCCGGATGATTGCCACGGAAAGGAACTCTTTCGTCGTCGTCCGACGTGCGGGGCTCTTCCTTCGCGTTCGAGTGGACGCTATTCACCACGACCACGTTCGTCGTTTCGAGAGAATTGTGTTTCTCCTCCGTGTCGGCGAAACCGAGGTCGACGTCGCTCTCCAAGAACCTCTCGGTCTTCACCACCTTTCGAATCTTGTTGTTGAACGACTCCTCCTCCTCGCTGGTGTCCGAGTGAATACGAGATCTGGAACTCTTCCTCGACAAAGACTTGGCCCTGGCCGAGTCGGATTCGGAGGTGGCCTCGTCCTCCGTCAAAGCCTTGCTCGACACCGAGTCGCCGTCCCACGAGGTGCTCTGCTTCTTCTCCTCCCTCCTCGCTCGACTCTGCTTCAACTGCGAGAACTTATCCTTCAATCGTACCTGCCGCTTCTCCTCCTCCAATTTCTGCATGTTCTTGGTCGAGCGTGCCTTCACCTTGTCGTACATGCTGATGTAGGCAGGCTCGTCGTCGACGATGTCGAAAATGGAGTGTTTTTTCGGCTCGTCGCTGTCCGTGTCGGTGGTGGCGGATGGATGCCTTGCCTGGATGTCGTGAGTCGATAAAGGCCCATCGTCCACGTCGCTGTGCAGATTCATGGAAGACTGTTGCTGCTGCTGCTGCTGCTGTTGTTGCTGCTGCTGTTGTTGCTGTTGCATTTCTCGCGAATGATTCGAACCGATCGTGGTCTGTTCGCTCGGCGAGTTGGTATCATTTCGCTTCGAGATGTCCAGTCTCGATAGGAACTCTTTATCCGACTCGTGAGACACCCTCGGGCTTCGTTCCCTCGACTCCTTCTCCGAACGATTCCTCTTGCTTCGTTGTTTCTCTTTGCTGGACAACTCCCGATTGTTCTCTCCCCGTTGACTCTCCCTGCTGTTCGCCTCGCCGTGTTGTTGCTGCTGCTGCTCCCTGCCGCCGTTGTCCTGCGCGGATCCAGTGCTCTCCTTGCTGTCGCGGCTCTCCCTGCTCTCCCTGCTCGATCTGTGAGAATCGTTCCGGTGTTTCCGATCCTCCGACCTTCGATTCGACTGTCTAGGCCGGTCTTTGCTGTCCCTCCTGTGCCCCTCGGAGATCTTCATCCGTTTAGCGTCCTCCTCGGCCGGCCCATCCTGGGACGAGCACCGCCGCTTGATCGACACCGGGGCAGGGGATATTTGATTTTGCGATTGCGAGGATTGATGAACGTGATTCTCGGTGGGTTGCCTCCTCCCGCCCTCCTCCTCCCCCCGACTCCTCTTCTCCTTCTCCTTCTCCTCCCTCTCCCTCCTCTTCTCCCGTTCCGACTTCTCCTTCTCCCGCCTCTCCTGGTCCTCGCGCTCCCGCCTCTTCTCCCGCTCGTGCTTCTCCCGCTCCACCCTCTCCCTCTCCTCCTTCTCCCTCCTCTCCCTCTCCGCCCGCTCCCGCTCCTCCTTCTCCTTCCTGCGCTCCCTCTCCACCCTCTCCCTCTCCCTCTCCCTCTCCTTCTCCTTCTCCTCCC